TCCCAAAATAATTTCTCTCTTCTTTGAACACATTTTTGGTACCTCTTAGGATGTTTTCCATTTTTTAGCTTGTGTTGTAGTTATGTCCAAATCTGATCTGCCCAATATAGAAAACTATAAAAGCACTGAAGGGACACTTACTGATTCATTTTTATTCACTTTAAAGGGCTTGCTAAGAACGATCCCTTATACAAAGGAGGCAATCTATATTTAATAAGGAATTGGTGAATCCTTGAACAATCCTTGTGAAGAATTAAACTAACAGTTGTAAAAGAATGCTAACAAGGTGTTCATATGCAACTAAATACTTTGATTTATTTATCAGATAAAAGTGAAGGAGGAAGAAGATGAGTCGGATTGTACAGGGTGAAGAGGGTGGCAACTCTGCTTTAGACAAGTGTTTTTCCCCCTTCCCATAGGTGGTAGATATGGCAAAAAGATGGCTAAGAGGGTTAGAGACTTAGCCTCTGACCATTTGTAGGCTGTATGATTATGGTCAAGATCCTGGGAACTTCCTGGGCCTTGGTCTGCCACCCCTTCATAAAAGAGGTTGATGAAGTGATAAACAATAGTTCCTCCTCACTTGTAATTGTATCAGAAGACTGAAGCTATTAGGGATCTTAAAGGTCATCTAGCCCCAGAATGGCAATTCAGCATCATCTTAGATGCCTATCAGTGGCAGCTTCTTGCAGTGCTGAGAACCATTCACAGGCTCTATTTGCATTCAGTGGAAAAGGCAGCCTTGACTTAATAATGATGTCTACATAAGGTGGGAGGAGAGTGGCAGCAAATAAGTCAAGATGTGCCATCCCTAATCTAGAACAATGCCTTCTCTTCACAGGAGAAAAAATGAGACCACAGCCCATATTTTGAGTTTACCATGTGCCAGGCACTGTGCAAATTACTTTTGCATGCACAATTGTATTTAATCCTTAGACAGCTTTAAGAAGTTAGCATTATTATCATTCTCATTTTACAGATGAGGCTTAAGGAAGCAACATTTGCCTGAGGTTCATACCATAGAAACCCATATCCATAAGCATTTCCCCATATTGCCTCCTGCAGGTTCTTACCATGTTATGCCAATGGTTCTCAACAGAGGGGATTTTGCCTTCCAGAGGACTTCTGACAAAAGTCTGGAGACTTTTTGTTATTAAGACTGGGGAGGACAGGGTGTTCCTTGCATCTAGTAGGTGGAGGCCAGAGATGCTGCTAAATGCACAAGACAGCATTCACCACAACCCCTCACCTCCAGCAGGAAAGAATTATTTACCTAAAATGTTAATAGTGCTGAGGTTGAGAACTGTGCACTAGGCTATGCAGCAATTGTTTGCAAATGGATGGTCAAACTTTTCCTACAGTCCAGCAGGTACATAAATATCTCCATTTTACAGACAAGGAAAGGTGATCTCAGAATCAGGTGGTCATCACAAGACAGGAACTGAAGTACTCTCATTCTAGTGTTCCCTGCCACTATACCCCATTATGATCAGTTTCCTTTACTATCAAAACATGCAGACTCAAGTAGCACCTGCTTACCTATTACCAATTTCAGAAGCTAAGAACACTGTGCCATCTGTGAAAAATTCCCACTGTGGTGTGTGTTTCCAAAGAGAAAAAGTACCTGTTCCACAGTTCAAAGAAGAGGGTCTCTAGGAACTTACTATGGAACCACTGATCTTTATTAGCCATTCAAATCATTGCTTTAAGATAAGACTCTTGAGGAGAAAGCTAATTTTAGAACATTAACAAGCTTCTTCAAGAATAATTAGCTCTGCGTGGGTTTCAGCTTTAACTTTTTTTTTCCTTTTGATTTTAGGAGCTGGAAAGCCTGGAAGCTTATTTAGGAGAAGAGGAAATGAAACTATGAAAAGCCCTTGTTTTCTTGGAGGCAAGGCACAGTCTGAATAATTCTCATCCTGTCTAATTAACTGCCCTCAGGTACACACACACACACACACACACACACACACACACACACAGAGAGAGAGAGAGAAAGAGACAGAGAGAGAATGTACACTCTATTATGGCTTGATTTGGAAGACATTAATGAAAAAGCCCAAAACGGCATGCTAGTTTAAACAATAAAGCCCTATGCAAATAACTTGCTTTCGGTTCGAAGGCTTGTCTCCTACAGAAAAACCAATGCTAAAGAAACAGGCAGAGAGATTCTGAAGGTGGAGAGCAAAAGAAAAAGAAATAAAATAGCTTGACCAAGGACGGGGACTGGCAGGAGGAGGAGAGAACAAGCTTCTCTCAAGAGGAATTACAGAAAAATGAAAGGAAAACCCAGTCTAAGCTGCTCCGGTGGCAGGGATGGGCGTGGGCAAGGTGCCTTCTTGGACGGTCCGCGCGCCTGCCAGACACGTCCAACCACCTGGCGCTGGTCGGGCTTTGAGAGGTGGTTTAGGAACTGCAGAGTCATTCGATTTGAAATCTTCTCCAATAAGCTTCTCCGTGTGCCGACGCCGGCAGCGTGACAGTCGGTTTCTCGGCAGCATCTCTGGCGCCTCCCGCCCTCGCCCGCTGCCTGCCAGATCCGAAACAGACAGTCCCAGACATTCCGCGACGGGGATGGTTCCAGAAAGCAGAGATCTGAGCGTGGTGAATGATATGTGAACAGAATAGCTCCGGAAAGAGTCTTGGAAACCTTGAATTGGGGTCTGTTGAGACTGGAAATGCGTTGAGCGCCGCAGGTGGGGGATGGCAGGGGAATGTAACACTGTGGAACCATTACTCTGTGCCAGGCGCCGAGCCCAGAGAGCCATGCGCGGCGCTCAGCTCGGGGAGGTCGGCCAGTTGGGTCTTCAGGGAGGCGAAATACCTTGTATTTACTATGCCCTTCGCCTGGAACGTTCTTCTCGAGACTGGGTGTGACAGCTTCTTTCCCAGGCTCAGGAGTCTGGGTAAAAGCCAACCCCGCCTAGAGACCCTCAGGGTGAGCGCCCCATCACGCACTTCAACACTTTTGAAAGCTGGGCTTAGCCCTTCTCTCAGTACTAACAGTCTGTCAGCCTTTTCTTTTGTGCATAGATATGTATATTCTCTTCTTTATTGTCTGCTTTTCCACAAAAATGTAAGCCCCATGAGTACTGGAGCCTGGTGCTCCTTTCTCACAGTTGCAAGTTCACAACGGCTCCTGGCACACAGTAGGTGCTCAGTAAATGCTCATGGCCTTCCCACCCCGCCACCTGAGGCACTCGACACTTGCAGCCTGCAAACTGACCCCAAATCATCAGCTGCTTGCATTTGTGCTAGGATCAAAGAGGACCACTGAGCTAGAGGAAAGTCAAGTCGGGTAGGCTTTCCCGTCTTTCAGGAAGATTTAATAGTAATGACGGTGCTCTCCCCACCTCCTAGCCCCTTGCACGAGAACTGCACAGAACAAAACCACCCGGGCACGAATCTGCACAGCTGCCTCTGGAGGTGGGGTCACGGTCTGCGAGCCCGGGTTCTCACACTGATGCTCTCCTTTGTCATCCTGTGCCTAGAGTCTTTCCTCCCCATGCATTTCCTCCGTTCTCGACTCCTCTGTCTCAGTCTGACTTCCTCAGGAGGTCGAGTTCTCCTAGCCGGTGCTACCGCCAGAGTCCCCTGGAGTTTTCTCCTTAAACCTGCCCCTCCCGCGCCACCCTCACTTCTTCCTCCTTCCCCGGCCCGGAAACGCCACTCGAGGAACATTTACGAACGCCTGCTACGCGCAGGCACAGAGCTAGGCCGCCGGGAGCCCCACCCCGGGCCCCACCGCCATTCTCCCCTCCCTCTGCGATCCCCACCCGTCCGGAATCCGGGGTCCCTAGTCCCCCGCCGCGTCACGGAATCCTCGGGCTTCTTCCGAGGGCATCGCCCCACCTCTTTCCCCGAAGACGACTCCTGACTGGTGGGAGTGTGCGTCACTCTGATGGCTTCTCGCTCCTCAGGGCCCCGCCCCTGGGCCTCGCAGGCCCCTCCCCTGCGCTCCCGCCCTGCGCGGCTCTTCAGGCTAATCGCCTGGCGGCGCGCGTGGAGAAGTTCTGAGCAAACTATTGAGAACTGGCCGCGTACTCGCGACGCCCGCCAGCCAGCCCGAGAGAGGGGACCCTAGCGCGACGCGGCCGGTGCGCAGAGCGGCTCCGGCCCGGCCGTCTGTCCGCGAGTGGCCGTCCCCGCCCCCGACTCCCGTGGCGGGTGCGGGAGCTGTCAGCTGCACGTTCCAGGGGTCCGGAGAAGCCCGGGTTGTCTTCTTTCGGGTCTGTGCGCGAACCCCAGAGCCCAGCACCGGGGAACTAGGAGGCGTCTCCGGCGGCACAGCGCTCAGGTGAGCGGCGGGGCGCCAGCCTAAATGGAGCCGGGAGGTCGAGGGGCCTGGCGGCGGGCTTAGAAGGGCTGCGGTTTTGGTGGGCGCCGCTAGTCTCCGCAGGACCGGAGTCTCTGCTCCTGTCGCCCGGGGAGGAACCGGCCCTGGCGCAGCCCCAAACCAGGGAGCTCACCCTCAGTGCCGGCTGCAGCTCCCGGGGAGGGAGGACCCATGTCTCACCCATCCTAGGGTTCCGTCCTTCGAGGGACCGCTTGGGGATTGACTGCCAGGAGGAGCCGAGCGCAGGAGCCGGGGCGCAGGTGCAGGAGGATGCAGCGTGCGGAGCTGCCCTGGGCAGCCGGGAGGCGCTGCGCCGGGGTGGGAGGCGCAGGAAGCCTGGTTAATTGGGCCGAGCGCGACGCTTTACCACGTCCGCGGGATGGGGCGCGCCGGGGAGACTGGGACAACGCTCCGCGGGGCAGGCGCTCCGCTCGTCCACCTTCCCAAACCAGGCATGCTCGCCCCTTAGCGCTGCCAGGTTTCCCGGCGAGTGTTTGTAGCCTGTAGAGTAGCTGATGGACACTGTCATAGGTCATCCAGATACTTCTGGAGCCGGGGCCGCCGCCCCTCCTTTGGCAACGCAACTTGCTTGCTGCCTTCTGCCCACTTGTGCTCGCCCTTCTCCACCTCACAAGCCACCAGTTTCTTCAGTCGGGACACTTGGAGCTGAGGGGACTGTGAAGTTGTCTCTTTCCGTGTGTCTGCATACTGCGCAGAGGTGCTTGAGGCCCCCTTAGGTGTTGCTCTGACTCTCAGAGTTTGAGTATTGGGCTGAGGGCATTCAAAAATATTTTAAACTACAGCTGCAGAAAAGATACTGCCACAGATAGATGAAAGCGAAGGCCTGGCTTCTGATCATCCACACTGTACCATCATACAAGGTGAGGTCTTTGTCCTGCCTAAAGATCAGTCAAGCATACCTGGGCTCGTATGCATCCAAGCTAAATGACCGTCCCCTCCAGCCAAGCCACATCACCTTGTTTGTTGTTCCTCTCTCTCTGAAATTGTCCCTTCGGGTTATCTGCCTTCCCCAGCAAGGATGCAAATACCAGGAAAACAGAGACCTTGTCTGCCTTGTTTCATCACTGATTGCCTGCGTCAAGAACACACAATAAGTTTACAGTAAACATTTATAGAATGAATAAATGAAACCTCTGTAAATATGAGGAATGGTGATTTTATATAGCTGATTTTGGTTTTTATCCTTATCCTTTTTTTACTTTTGGGAAAATTAACAAATAGCAATACTAGGAACTTTTGTAGATTATCTCATTCAGCTTACAGAAGTCTATTAGCTAGGTATTTTTAACCAGATGGGAAATTGAGGGTCCAGCAGGTTAACCAGTGTGCCAGGGTTATCCTGGCAGAATTAGGATTACAGCCCATTTTGTCTCTATTGTGCTGGACCTCTTCCAAGAAACTAAAATGTGGTTTCCACCAGTACAGCTAATAGACATTTAGCTTTATTTGTATCAAAAGCCGTGGCTTAGCCAAAAGATTTACTATTTTATAATTGAGATATATTTTCAATAATCACTAATAGTTACATCATAACCCAGATAATCCCAGGCTGCCATAAGCTGTATTATCTCATTTAATTTCCACCATCTTGCTGGGCTGTGTTGTGAGGTTATCTCCATTTTTCAGGTGAAGAAATGGAAAACAAGGTTTAGGAACTTGCCTAAGGTCACCAGTAAATTGCTGAACGGGATTTTTTTAATGGTCTGACTTCAAACCCTTATCTCCTACTCGGTAAAGATTCCTGTCCCACTCTTTAATTAGATGTTAACTCATGGTAGAGTCCAGTGACACAAATATTAAAACCATCTGAGATTGGGTTATAAACTTTCTGGTGCCCATATCAAGTGTCTAGTTGTACTATTTTCAGAATCCTTAAGACTCGTACTGCCATTGATTTTTGTGGCTGAGTTTGTGGTTTGTGGGCCTGGTAGATTGGGAACTTTTAATATAGAAGGAAAGGAAATCCTCCTTTCATCTAAATCTAAAGAGAAATCTGGTTGGTTTTACCCGCTGTGGTAAATGAACTTGGAACAGTTATGCTTTTATACCTCTTAAAGAAAGTGCTGGAAAGCCAGCTAGTTCCTCTGTTCTCTAATGTGGAGAGTTAGAAACCACTGCTGATTCCAAAAGCATCTGCAGTAGGCTTTCAGTGAAACAACTACATTTCAACTTTCCCTTCTTGCGCTGAGGGTGGAAAGTTGGGGAAGAGTGGCATGGGTACCACCTAAAGCACTCATGGCAAAAGGGGATGGGTAGGGAATTAGTGACACCTTCTTTCTTCTACTTTATTCCAGTTTGGGGACCGGTATAACATTTCCTCTTGCATGAGGGTCTGGATAATGCAATTTTATTTATAATGTGCTTCTCAGCAGTACTATATTTTTCTATTTGTTAATTCCATTTCAGGAATACTCCAGAGAGGGTTGGAGAACCCTGCAACCTAGAATGCCTGAGGAAGAGCTTGAGCTGTAGGATACCAGGGAAGATGCAAACTGTTAGGTAGAAAAAGTCTTCCAAGCATAATTGAGAGTTGTTTATGGTTTTCTGCACATTCCTTTCCTAAATTTACATATTCATCAGTTTTCTGGCCCCTTTTGGAATTTTTTTTTTTTTTTTTTTAACTTTCCAGTCGCTGTGGTTGAGATCACCTTCAGCCTCACTGTAACTCTTGCCTCAGTATCTCTCATGTTGGTCCTTTACTGGAGGCCCTGCAGCATCTCACTTCAGGATCTTAGGGACTTCTGCACCCTGTCTTAACGTTGTCTGCAGGTGGGTTTCCCTGTCTCTGTTTATTCCATGGTAGGTAAATTCTTTAAGTACTATCATGGTGTTGTTAAAAATTCTTGTGTGGCTTAAATAATTAACAATAACATTAATAACAGCAGTAATAGCTGCTGAACTTTTATGTACCGGGTGCTGCCATAAGTTGCTGTACCTTCATTATTGCATTTAATCCTCAGGGCAGCATTGAAGCAGGCACTGTTTATACCTCCAATCTCCAGGTGAGGCTAGGAAAAGTTAAGTTCACAACTGCTTTGCAACCAACATATGGTGGATCTCAGACTCAGTCTCCAAGTTCTTTTCTCTACTTATTTGCACATAGTTTTCTTATGTAGGGCTAAGGTCCCCACAGGGTCGTGGGGTGTCCCTTTTGCTGTGCTGAGGTGCGGGTTCTGAAAAATAAAGAGACAGGACACAGAAGTACAAGAAAAAACGCAGCTGGGCTCAGGGGGTCCACGCCACCTATAAGCAGAGACAGGCGAGGCCCCGAATGTCCAGAAGCATCTGTAGTTATTGTGTATAGGTTAGGGGGCAGGGTAGTGAGTAAAGTCATCTTTAAGGATAGTGATAGGGTCGTGAGCAGTAAAACAAGGAGTCCACCCCCATTAGGTCACCTAGGGTAGGAGGTGGACAGTGCGCAGCACGGGGTGCATTCCCATTAGGTCATTGAGGCAAGGAAGTGGGCTGTGTGCAGTAAGGGGTCCACCCCCATTAGGTCACCAAGGCATGGAGGTGGGCTGTGTGCAGTGAAGAGGGTGCAGTGTGCAATACCTCTATCTATGGGCATGCTACTTCTAAGAAGATTTATAGGAGGGTGCTTAAGTCCCACATCAGTGACAGAGTTGTCAGGGTCTACCACCACCTGCTGGCAGCTTCCAGTGATTTCTATAGGAGAATGCTTTTTGAGCAAGCACAGTACAGAGCTGATAAAGTTCACAGTCACCAAGGTGCGATTATCTGGAGGGATTTTGAGCCCTCGGATGCTTGAGGGTTTGCCGGTCTGAGGGCAACCTTCCACAAGAACTGGAGCAAGGTCCTACAACTCCTTTATCAGGAGGAGTGGCTCTTGCCCTAAGCCTGCCATACAGCGGGTGTCTTTACGATACTGAACGCTGCTGCCTGGGCCATGGATTCTTGTGCTGGTATAACTGTTTTCCCTTAAATCATGCTCTGTGCTGTGTCTGCTCCAGACCTTCCTCTGACTATAAGCTGCTTATTCCTTAATCCATGCTCTGTACCGTGTCTGCTCTAGGCGTTCCTCCAATTATGAACTAAGATATATATATATATATATATATATATATATATATATATATGGAAATAACTGAGTGGTAAGATATTCTTTAGGCACTCATTCTATGAACTAATATAAGATTATATATAGAGGATTATATAAAAGGAAATAATTGAGTAGTAACATTATAAACTGAGATATTCTTCAAGCCCTAATTCTATAAACTAATATATGATTATATATAAAGGATTATATAAAAGGAAATAACTGAGTAGTGACACTGTAAACCGAGATATACTTCAGGCCTTAAGTATGCCAGGATTCTGCTTAGCTCTCCTTCCTCGATACCTATTTGGGGGGTTACCCACACCTTAGCCTAAAGCCAGGATCCAGCAGCCTGGGCTTAGCCTTGGCCTTCATCCCATCATTCCCCAACCCTGTGAGCTGGTAGTCTGAGTTTTATTAATCAACCAAGTGTTTTGCCTTTGTCCATGCACTCCTGTTGCCTAGAAAGCTCTTTGGCATCTCCGTGTGAAAACCTAAGTCTTTCAAAGCTGAACTCATAAACTACTTTTGTCAGCATAATCTCTCTAAACCCAATTTCCCAGAGCATTTGTTTTTTAAAATATGAGAAACTTCCCAGTTCAGTTTCTGATCACAAAGTATGCTGCTGGTGCCCTTCCTTCCTTCAGCACTTCTTACCATTTACCTTTCCTATTCCTCTCACCCTGTTGTTTCCTGGCCTAGTAATTTATTTGAATCTATTGCCTCCCTTACTGGATTTTAAATGCTATGAAGCGGGGAAGGTGTGTGTGTGTTCCTTAGGTTTCTGTTCCTTTACGTCACTAAACATGGTGTCCTGTCTATAGTAAGTGCTCAATTGAAAAAAAGAATATTGAACAATTATATTTGCTTGCCTTTTGTTAGAATATTCTGTGAAAAAGTAATTGGAACATGACATTTTGTTTTCTAGTTTTCTAATTTGTTTTGATCAACGGTATTTTAATGCCATCATTATTTTATGATGAAGCAATAGAATTCTGAGTTAAATCCATGAAAAGCACCTGTTCTGGTTGCTCTCCTTTTTGGACCAAGGAGATACTGCAAGGTCTTAAATTCACACATATAATAATCATTGTCTGTAGATAAATATCTTGCCTATGTTGTGTACTATTTTTTCATGTCTATGGTAATGCTGCCACTAAAAATGTACTAAAATTGTTATGGAATTCAAATGGAATTTTTGTCAATATTTTATGAATCAGTTAATATTCTACATTTTAAAGCAGATTTGCAAGACCCTCTGAATCAGCTCCTGCTTCCCTGTCTAGACTCATAGCTCACCACTCACCATTTATTCTGTGTGTTCTAGTTGCACTGAATTAAGTAAAGCCTCCACCCTTACCCCCAGAGCCCATGCACGATGAGCTCTGACTGCCCAGCTTTTGCCTAATCTGTCATCTTCATTATATTTTCCTTCTCAACCATATTCATTCACCTGGCTCATTTCCATTCATCCATAAGTTTCAGCATAGATGCACCTTCTAGGAACCTTTCCTTGCTCCTCCAAGTTGCAGCTGGAGAATGCTCGCAGCACTCTGTGCCCACCCATTTTATATGGAGTATTATCATACTGCTGTGTAACTAACTGGCAGTCACTTGTCTGAATCTTGCTCTGAACCACTGTTTGTCATTTGGCTTACATTAAAATTACTTTACTTAGAGATCTTTAAACAATGTTCCCTACCCAGGCCCTATTACCAAAGTTTCTGGATCAAGTGGCTTGGTATGAGAAGGATTGGTCACTGGAATATTTTAAGAATATTTTTCTAAAGCTTTCTCATTCTGTATTACAGCTGGATAAAATTCCATTGTGTGAATGTAGTATACTTTAGTTACTTTAAAAAATAACAGCAGGGTGGGCATGGTGGCTCACGCCTGTAATCCCAACACTTTGGGAGGCCAAGGTGGGGATAGATCACAAGGTAAGGTGTTCGAGACCAGACTGACCAACGTGGTGAAACCCTGTCTTTACTAAAAATACAAAAATTAGCTGGGTGTGGTGACGCGTGCCTGTAATCCCAGCTATGGGAGTGAGGGGATGGGGGGGTAGAGGGGGTGGGAGTGGTGGGGCTTAGGCAGGAGGATCACTTGAACCAGGAGGCGGAGGTTGCAGTGAGCTGAGATTGTGCCACTGGACTCCAGCCTGGGTGACAGAGCAAGACTCTGTCTCAAAAAAAAGCCCCCCAAAAACAAAAGAGCCGTGCAAAAATAGCAATATTGAGATAAAATTCACATTTCATACAATTCACATTTAAGGTCGAAAATTTAATGGTTTTTAGTATATTCAGAGTTGTGCAACCATCACCACAATTGATTTTGAAACATTTATCACCCCCCCAAAAAAAATTTGTACCCATTAGCAGTCATTCCTCATACTGTCCATCCATTCCCTCAATCCCCATCCACTAATCTACTTTATGCCTGTATAGATTTGCCTGTTCTGGACATTTCACATGAGGGGAGTTTCTGTGGCCTTTTGTGTCTGGCTTCTTTCACTTACTATGTTGTTTTCAAGGTTAATTTCTGTTGTAGCATGTATCAGTACTTTATTCCTTTTTACTGCCTAGTAATACCCCATTGTATGTGTGCACCATGGTTTTATTTACCTATTTGCTAGCGATGGAACTGACATTTTTAAAAAAGTTTGATTCTAATGTGACCCTAATGTGTAGTCCAGAAGTTCCTTTGAGCCCTGTTCACTGTTTCATTGTGGGGCTAGAATTGGCACCTGGCACAAGATAGTTGCATAATAAACATTCAGATGGCTGCAGCATTTTACTAAAAGTGTAACTCCTATTACGTTGCAGTCAGCGAAAAATCTTGTCATTAAACAGAGGCCCTCATAGTTGATTGTTTAGATACTGATTTGAGCAACCCAACTGTTAAAAAAAAATGAGTCAAGGAACTTTGAAGATGGCTGCAGTGCTACAGTATTTAGGATTTGCTCTGAAATAATCTGGGGGTGAGGAGGGAGTACAGAGGAAACAAGGATCCCTGAGCTGATGATCATTGAAGCTGGGTGATGAATTCTCTATGTAGTTTGCTGGGGCAGCCATTGGGTGCATGTGGCTATTCAGCTTTTAAAATGTGGCTAGTCCTTATTGAGAAGCACTGGAAGTATTAACACCCACTGAGTTTTCAAAGACTTACTATGAAAAAGAATGTAAAAATATCTCAATTTTTAAACATCACATGTTGAAATGATAATATTTTGAATATATTGTAATAATGTGTAATTAAAACTAACTTGTTTTCTTTTACTCTTTGTCTACTTAAAATTACATGTATGGCTCCTATTACATTTCAGCTGGACAATGCAGCTATATACTTTTGTATATGTTTGAAATTTTTTGTAATAAAAAGTTTAGAAATATCAAATACATCTTTTTTAAAGTCTGGATTATATGTGTGTGTGTGTGTGTGTGTGTGTGTGTATATATATATTTTAAATAAAGGATTCCTCTGGTGTGAAAGGATGGGAAATACTGATTTTTTTCAAAGATGCTTCTTTGTAGAAGCTTATAGCAGGCAGGCTATAGCCTTCCAATATCATTCCTGGGCTTATTTAAGCTATGTTAACATTTTAAAATTCCTTTATAATAATAAGTAGAATAGCAGTGTAAAGAATTGCTTCTTTAGTTATTAATCTAAATAATTTTGTTTTGAAGTTGATGAAATATTTTCTTCATCT